TTTGACCAACCCATTTGCTGGCGTACGAGCTTATTTACGTTCAGGGACACACCCCCACGATCTCGCAGTTTTCGCGGGGAGACGACCGGCGGCGTAGGTGGTTGCGGCGGCTGCTCATGAGCAGGTGAAACAGGAGGAGTGGGGTTTGGAGGCGCAATCGGCGTTTGAGGGGTACCTGCCGAAGCTGGAGGGTTACCATCCTCACTTTCACCCCCATCATCCGACAGCTCGGGTGGACTGTCCGGCATACGGGCGACCTCCGTTGGTGAGTTTCCTGGGAAAAACCGCTCATCGAATACTGCATGACTGCTTGTATAGAGTTTGCATAGTTCGGGGTCCCAGAACAACCACGCTTTGGTGCCGTGCGGGTAACCAACGAAGATGCACTTGCGTGAGTGGGCCTCCAACGCCTTGCGCTTCTTCTTCGGGATTAGAACATACGCCAAGCATCCGAAAATCCGGAAATACGAGAGGTCGGGTAGCTTTCCACGCTTCCACCCGGCGTATGGTGTAGTGGTCTGGGGCAGAGCGGAGGTGGGTGTCCTATTGTATGAATGGACATAGACATTTAATGCAAGTCGCCAGCAAATGGGTTGGTCAAAACCAGCCGCACTAAATCCACTTCCTGCCGAGGAGCCACATCCCATTGACGACGACTCCCCGCTGACTCCACCACCGGACACCGATGAGGAACCAGATGACAATGATGACTCACATATTGAGGCCCGCGCATGTCGAGCAGGCCTAGACTATGTGTATTTGGGTCAATATGACGACTATTTGACGGAGGACGAAGCTCTTGAATATGCGTTCGACACCTCAGAGCATGCCCTAAAGGCCTCCTCATCCAGCACAGAGCCACGCTCCTATGCCGAGGCTATGCGGAGATCACCTGAGGAGCGTGTGCATTGGCGTAACGCTGCTCTTCAGGAGGTTGAAGCGCTCGTGCAGAATGGGACCTTCGAACTTGTGGAATTACCTCCAGGTCGTCGAGCGATAGGGTCCAGATGGGTGTTCAAGGTGAAACGAAATCCAGATGGGTCTATTGAGCGCTACAAAGCACGTCTGGTCGCGCAAGGCTTTGGTCAGCGGCCCGGATTCGAATACCACGATACTTTCGCACCAACACCCAAATGGGCATCCCTCCGCTCGATCCTTGCGCTTGCCGCCATCGAAGACCTCGTGCTCTACAGTGTAGACATCTCCAACGCCTTTCTTAACGGTGAACTGGAGGAAGAGATCTACATGAAGCAGCCGGAGGGCTTCGTGCAGAAAAGTCCGGACTGGGTTTTGCGGCTGCGCAAGTCTCTATATGGCCTCAAGCAGGCGGGCAGAGTGTGGATTCAGACGCTGCACAAAGCTCTGACTGGGATGGGTTTTTCCCGAGTGACGTGCGAGCACAGTGTCTGGGTTTACGGACGTGATGACGAGCGCATCATCATTCCTGTATATGTCGACGATATGACGATCGCAGCAAAATCTCGCGACCAAATCGACAAGATTGTCCTTGAGCTCAAGAAGCATTTCAAGTTGCGGGAATTGGGCCCGACCTCATGGCTCCTGGGCGTCGAAATCAAACAAGACCTGAATCGTGGCACTGTGACCCTCTCCCAGCGCCAGTACTGTCTCGACATACTTGAGCGGTTTGGAATGTCAAATTGCGACACCGTCGTCACTCCCCTTGATCCCGGCTTGAAGCTATCCAAATCTCAATCCCCAAAGAGCTTTGAAGAGGCCGCGGAGATGCGCAACATTCCTTACATCAATGCTGTCGGAGCTCTCGCGTATCTCGCGATCGCGACACGTCCAGATCTCGCATACACGGTCAGCGTTCTGGCTCGTTTCTCCAGCAATCCTGGTCTTGCCCATTGGACGGCGGTCAAGCGTGTTTTGAGATACATCAAGGGGACACTTGACTACAAAATCACGTATACCCGCCCTCCAAAACCATTCACATCCCCCTCCAACTTCTTCCAAACGTACTCTGATGCGGACCATGGCGGCAACCCAGATAACGGTCGATCTACTGGCGGTTTTGTCGTTCTGATGGCAGGTGGCGCTATAAGCTGGTCGAGTCGATTGCAGGGAATCGTCACACTGTCGACAACCGAAGCTGAGTTTGTCTAAATAAAGTCCTGAGGCGATTTATTGCGCGGGGCCCATAACCTGTCAAAACGGGGCAGAGGGTAACCGAGGTAGCGCAGATAATCAAGCACTCGAAGGACTGGGACGGCGTTAGGCAAGGATGAAAATCCCTTGCCGCCGTCCCGGTCAATACATGCCAAGTCCGGTAACTAAATCTATATACCGACGCGCTCAACGCGTCAAGTCACCTATTCTAACAGGTGCGGGGGAAAGAAACGGGTTCGTCGGAGAGCACAGCGTGGGTATTCCCGGCAAGGCCGCTTAAATTCTGCTTCTGGTTTCTTTTGTTACGCTCATGCAACTGGTTGGCCTCCCGCCGGTAGTTTCGACACTAGACCTGACGGAACCATTTACAAATTCGTCCGAGTCTCTCTCAGTTGGATGATCGTTCAAAGAGAGGTAGCAAAATACGAGAAGAGACGAGTTGCCGGGCTTTCCAGACTCAAAGGACGTTCGCTCAGCATCCATAATAATTACGCTCAGGAATGCAGGGAACACCTCGGGACAGGATGCCGTCCCTCATCTTGCCCACGCGCGCGGCATCCACGTCCTCCAAACACAAGCCCGGCCTTACCCTCCCGTCCACATCCTCGCCCTCTCCATCTCCGTACCTTGTAAAAGTGTCAATGTCGTTGGGACCCTGCATGATATCGCCGGTGTGTGATTCAATCTCCGTTTTTCGCAGAGTTTCTCTTCGTTTCATGGCGATTACATCTCGGATGGCTCGGGCGTTTACCGGCGCCGATTTTGCGTACTGTGTTCATTTCGCGGAGCTCAATGCCTACCGGAGTCTGCCCTTGCATTGTGTTCATTTCCTGCGGCCGGATGTTTTACTCTCTTGGTATTTCGGGCCCGCTCACTAACTACGTACGTTCGGATTCACCTCCTCGGAGGCGGATCTCTCCGCGTGTTTTATTTTGGATAATCGCCGCATTCCCACGAAAATCTCTATTCTGGGCACTCTCAAGGCCACGAGGCAGTGGAGATCCCTGCTTCCGCCACTCATGTCTGACGATACGACTCACATTCGGGACGCCGGGGCACCCTTCTCTCCCTCGCCTCACCCTCATTACCCTCACTGCCATCCATTTCCGCCGGCAGATTTCATCCTCAGATCCTCCGATGGTGTCGACTTCCATGTACACCAGGACATCCTTAAATTCAGCTCCACCTGTTTCGACGGTATGTTCACCGCCGTCCGAAATGGGACAAGCAATCTGTCGAGAGACTGGAAGCCGGTGATATTGCTCCCTGAGCCCCATCCGGTCCTACGCCTTCTTCTCACCCTTGCATACCCTGCGGTATTGGTGTCCCAGTACTCCCTGACGCAGGCCGATCTCGATGTGTTTGTGGACACGTACAAAGCCGCGGGCGAATACCGGTTTATGAATGTCCAGCAGCTGCTCGACCAGATGTTGGACAATTCCAGCCTCATCGAGGCCCATCCGCACCGCCTGTTTGCAATTGGGCGAATCTGTGACGTGCATTCGGTTGTTCGCAAGGCAGCTTTATGCACACTCAGGTCGACTTTGCATCCTAGATTGGCCGCATTCCCGGAAATGCGGCGTCTCTCTTGGGATGAAGCCCAAAAGCTTCCAGTCTTTCACCATATGTGTGGGATCAATGCGGAGAAAATAGTGAAGGGCAATGCGAAGTCACCCAGAGAGGTTTTCCGGGTCGGCGACGCCGACGAGCGGGGCTATCTATATCCTCAGATTCAAAATACGGAAACGACCGAGACATTCGTTTGGTGGTCCCTGGGCAAGCACAGTAAAAAGTGCGTATCTCGCTGCGTGAAAATCGAGTCGAAGAAGATATCACGGGGAGATGTGCGGGCCACTCCCCTCAGCTGGTTCCGAGATCACATGGCGATTGTCGCACACAGAGCACTCTCTGCCCCATCCCACGACCTGGTCAAAGTCGAGGTACTCAACATCACACCGGCCACCCGTACGATAATCGATTCGTGCGCCATCTGTTCGGAATATGCAGACAGCGATCTCGCCAACTTTGCGGGTCACCTAGCGACGGATATTGAAGACACCAACAATCTGCTTGGTGGGTTTCGATCATTGCGCTGCGCTCCCCGCCACTGACGAGTTCAAATTGAAGTAATGAAATTTTGTCACGACCGGGTCTGATTCATATTCCCTCATCTTTGTGTATTTCTTTCGGACGTAAATCCGAGCATACCAGCCCTTCGGTGGATAGCCCAATTCAGCACTGTATTTCACGGCTTCCCTACCCCAAGTTTGACGTGCCGATCACGAATTTACGATGTAGAAGCTAAATTAAAGGTCTTGTCTGCACTGGTTATTATTCAACAGTTATCCAACGATCCGTTTCGAAATTAAGATACCTACTCCTGACCATCAAAATTACCAGCAGTGCGCTCGTCGCATACACTCGCTCTGTAAAGGTGACGCAATTTCCCTCGCCTGATTCCGCCGGTTTATCTCAGTGCCGCCTTGGTCTCAAATTGCTTCGCTCCGTTGATCTCGACACCAATTATCCGAGTTCAAATAACCCAGATGCAGACCCGGTAGGGGACGGCCCGCACCCATCTTTCGCATATCATTTCGCGAACTTACAACGGGGATCGCCCGTTCGACTCAGGCCCGGGGCGCGGGTAAGCCTTCCCATTTCCTTTTCTTTTTGGGTGCCGCGGCTCCCCGGCTCCTTCAGCTCATCTTACTTCTTTTGATTCCCACCCCTGACTGTGTTGCAGGGGTCGCAGTCGATCAGATATTTCAATTGGGCGAGCAGGCATACGCAGGATGAGCAACTAATTCCGTTCTTGCCAAATTTCCTCTCATTCCACGGGGTGTTATCCAGGTTCAAATAACCCGGATACGGACCCGGTAGCGGACGTTTCGCACCCGCCTTTCAGTTACAGCGGGGTCGCCTGTTCGACTCAGGCCCGGGTCATCCTAAAAGTCTGCATATTCTTTTGCGCGCCGTTGCCGTTAGGTTATTCAACTTGTATTTTATTTCTCTCGTCTAATTCGACGGGTTAGCTCGCTCGTTTGACGCACGCTGTCGATAACCCCGATACAGCCCCGGTAGCGGACAGTCCGCATAGGACTAAAGTTAATCGAGCCAGGATCTCTACGCTCGTCGCCTGTTCGACGTAGGCTCAGGCCATGGGGGGCTCATTTTCAGAATTTTCACCAAGTCCATCTCGGTTGCCGTCTGGCCTTCTTCCGCGTAGAAACCAGCTTATTCCTTCGGCCCAGCCTCTTTCTGATAAATTCCCCGGTAGCAGGTGGGTCATACCAATCTTCAACGACCGCCGCCGGACAGATCCCTATGCTCACAGTCGCCTGTTGAATTAACTCCATAGAGAGCAGTTCTCAACTTCCTTGATACTATTTTCGCCTTCAAAATTTGCGCTCGTTTTGAGGATCAAGCCTGAACAGTGTTCAGGCTTATCGCACTCCAGTAAACCGGGCCGAACCACCGAGAACAATGGCCTTTGATGAACAATGCGCGCTTTGACTCGCGTCTTTGTATTTCCCGCTTTAGGCAATGCTGGTCAAAGCGCATGCCACCTGCCCTCTGTATAAAACGAGCCACCATTCTGACCGCTACCCAGACCCTTGTCCACCGTTGTACTGTGCCACTCGCTTCGCTCCCCTTCCACCGTTGAATTCCGATGACCATCGTCCGCGCACGCAAGAAGCAAACACAGCGTACGCCCAAACCCAAAAAGCCAAACGTCTTCCGGGCGCCCTCACCGTCGCCCACGCCATCGCCCGCACCCAGCGTCAGAAACCCGACAAAGGCGGCGAAGGAACCCGTGCCGACAACAAAGCCGGCGGCCAAAGGGAAGGGGCTGAAGAAACATCCGAGCCTGGTCGAAGCCGCGACCGCCGCGCAGAAAAAGAAGATGGCGCTGGCGCGCGCAAATCTGGCCAAAGGCCGCTTCCCCATGGGTCCGTGGGTGCACATCGGCAATGTGCGTTCGGTCCGCAACCGCGCTCTGAATTTCACTCATGCTGTTTGTCCGCCAGCTCGATCCCGAGGTCACGGAACAAGAGCTCACGGACCACTTCGCCGAGGCGGGCGAGGCGCAGTCTGTCAAGATCCGGTACAGCCCCGGGAGGGCACCCCAGGCGGCGGGCTACACCTACGCGATCATCGTCTTCAAAAATCGCCTGGATGCGGGGGCCGCGCTTGCGTTGAACGGCTCGCGGGTTATGGGCTCGGACTACTGCATGGTCGTGCGTATATGCGACAGATTTTCCACGTCGTTCGCAATCATTGACCTCCGGTGAGCAGGTCGAACCAGAGCTCCATGAGCTCCCTGAGGTCCGTAGCCTCGGTACCCCCAGGAAGCCCACGAAGGGGAAAAGGCTTTTCCCGCGTGCGGTTCAAACAGCGTCCGGTGTAACACAGTATGTTTCTAGTTATTACCTTGGAGCATGGGACAGTGGACTTACTTTGACCTTTGCAGGCCGACGGCGCTCGAGAAGACGGAGGTGTGGTCCGCCAGGCCGGACGTCGTGCGCAGCGTGCGGAGAGCGACGGGGAAGCGCCACTTCGTGGACGAGGTATCGTTCACGTTCACGGTGTCTTGAAGTGTTTTGTACATTTTGTGCTTGGATGAGTCAATATTTTATGAATTTATGATTATGCAAATAGACAATTGTGTCGCTTATACCCGCACACTCCCCGCGCAGAGACATCGAGGAGCGTCCATCCATTGGCGCAACTCTTGGGAAAGAGGGGTTCACGTATATTGGACTCGCTTCATCAACACGGACTCGCGCTCAAATGTTATTGTCCTTTGCTGAGCCGGGGACGATCCCGGGATGGTAGATGTTCATGGTGAAGAGCAAAATCATCCCGCCGCCCAGCACGTCTGCGAATAACCCATCAGCGCCGAATGCACAGGGATGGATATTCAAAGAATGCACTGGAGTAGACCGCGGGGATGATTACCGTCCCGCGCCACCTGTTCTCCCCGATACGGTACACCGAGCGGATAATGAGCACGAAGTCCAGCGTGGTGGGCATGACCTTGAGGCCCGCGTCCAACACCTCGCGCTCCGAGGGGAGTAGTGGCGCAGGAAGTCGATGCAGATCGCGAACGACGATCCCGGCGAGCATGATGTCGCTCCCGCCGCTTGTACCACGAGCGTTATGTCCTGGATGCGAGGTCAGCGGCGGCATACATGGACATGGTGGTGGGTACATACGCCGGCGAGGAAGATCCGCGTGTACGATCGCGCCGTGGGCCAGAATGGCAAGAACAGAACAGAGAATTGGTGCGAGGGGATAGGCGCCGCATCAGAGGGATTGCCGGGGTCTGGTAGGAACCTGCTCCAAATTGCAAAGGTGCCCGGCCCGCTCCAACTGAGTTCCCCAATTCCACACGGGAAGCGCACCACATGCAGAAGTACGTGGCCTGCGCGACGTGGAGGACTGACGACGCCAGTGTGGGCGAGATGTTATGACGGACGCACACCAGTACGAGACTCCAAGGCGAAACTTGAAAGTTGACATCCGGGCGAGTGACGGGGTAAAGGAGTGTAGGGCGCGTACATAACGTACAAAGTACGTAGTGGTACACGGCGTACAGGGAATAATTCAGTAAGTGGAAGAGGTGGCAGCGACGGCGACACACGCAACAATGTCGGCGGGGGGAGCCCTCGGAGCGGGTGCTTCTTCCCGTGAAGCGAACACGGTGTGCCGGTGAGTCGTGAGGCGAGCACGCCCGGACGGCGAGAACATCTCCTCAGATCCTGCATGCATAGCGGGAACCAGGCCAGCTATAACGTCCAAGAGTTCCTGCTTCGTGTCATGGTGGCATCACGAGAAGAGCGTCGGGTGTCGGACCGTACCGTGGGAATGCCAATACGTCCGTCGGCTTTTCTCGACTCCAAAGTGGCCGCCGTAGCCAGGGATGACCCAGAATTTTTTATCGCAAGTTGTACAGAATCATCCAATTTGTCGAGAAAAAACTCGGTTTTTTGGTTTTTGATTTTCAATTTTTTTGTATTAAATTGGCCTCAACCGTTGGTCGGGTCGGGTCAACCTCTAGTGTCAATTTTTGGGCTTTTGGGGTGTTTATTATCTGGAAACAACTTGGTGTATAGAATTAGAGTGATGGGTACCCCTTGCTAGCACGGTGTCTAGACACGACGGACCTCTCTGCGGAAGGTTTCCGTTTGAGAGTCACCGATGGGTATTAGCGGCATGTTGGACTGAAGATCGATGGATTTGAGCAAAGGGATGCTCCCGTTGCGAAGCCGGCTAGACATCGTTTCAGAATGTCAATTTGAGTGACGGTGGCGGTCTCGGGTGCAGCGTGAATCTTAAGGCTGAAACGCTGAGAGTGAAATGCCGTCGCCGAATGGGGCTTAAAACCAAGCGCCTCGCCCACCGTTTCCCAACTGGCTTTAATTGTGACACTTGAGCGAGGCGCTTGTTTTTTTATTCACGCAAATTTGATATTCTGAGCCGATTTCTCGGCTTCGCAATGTGACCATTAGCCGCTCGAGAAAGACGTATATATAACCGTGTCCTCCAGGGTCCTCTCATCCATCCACCTCGGACAGCCTCCCCCTGCCCAAATCCATCGGCCTTTACAACGCTGCCATTTCACACGGGAACGTCCGGAATGTACGTCGCCGCCGTTTCGCATATTCATGGTCTGACAATGACATTCGCTACCCACTCTCGTTCTTGGTCTACCAGGAGCGAGAACGTGGTCCGGACCCTCTGCTGTTCAATGTTGGATCCACGTTTGATATCCTCTGTAGACTATGATCGCAAATCGCAGATCAATGTCTGGAGTTATATGCGCAGAGTAACAAAGGACGCCAATGGACGTCATCCACCGGTGTCCTCCGACGGCTTGCGCTGATCCCCGATGCCATCGGGTGATCAGAGGGCCAGTGCCGTCGATGGCCGGTGAGCGTATCCGACGCCTAACGTTTCAAATTCAAAGTCCGATGAATCTGTTCACATCCAATGATATCCGTTGGACGTGGTTGGACGCGATCGTATTTCGTTCAGAAAAAAAGCATTCATGCTGTAAGTGTAGTGGAATTCACCCACAACAGACGTGAGCTAAAGTTATTTTCCATAGGTAGGATCGGACGTAGCATCCGCAAAATACCAGTATAACTGGACGATCTGTACACGGACCATATTGGGCAGTTTGTCGGGTTTTAGGCCCCCAGTAAGAGCTGATGTATTTGTACCGTATCACTACACACTGTCATTTACAAGTGGGATAGTCATCAAATGCATCTGTTATTCGTTTAAGGCAATACTGACATCTTGATCCACTGGAATTCATTGGAATCCACTGGAGATTCATGGAGTTCCGGTGGACTTCAGTAGATTTTCAGCCATGGACCATATGTTGATCACACTTTGGGTGTATCCCATCGGTATTTCCAACGAAATCCATCGGAATTCACTGGAGGTCATTGGATATTTGTTCATTCACAGCGTACAGTGTCCATCATGCGGAGACGGTGGATTTCGGCGGATATTCAATGGCCTTCAGCCATTCCCGCAGTTGAATCCGGCGGCCGCCGGTGGCCTGGACCGGCTTTGCCGGTCCGCGCATAATACACAATATCTGAGGCAGAATCCGTGGCCACTGGGGCAGAGACCGTTGGAGACGATGAGGCCTTATGCGGTAAAGGCCCGATGACCAGGTGATGAAGACAATCAAAAACTGAGATGCCCTGTACGATAATCAAATCAAGTCACTTTTGGATTATTTGTCGCGGGTATGTCTCGGTTAATATGCTCAATAATAGAGTTCGTCGTATTCGGGATGACAGATCACGGAAGCACGCAACAACCTTATTGGAGACCCCAAGTACATTGTCTTTCACTCTGTTTGTCAATTATGTACTGACCTCGACTGCCGCACAGGGACATTCACTCTGCACATCAGGCGGTTT